TAAACTAAAATTTGCTTTGGTATTTGATTATGGTTATATTTAGTTTCACAAACATAAAATTTTAAAATTTTAAATAAAATTTAATATCAAGAAAAAAATAATTTTAATAATGATAAAATTATTTGATCAAGCGATGTTTATTGTTAAATTTATTTTTTGTTTTTAATATCTCTTAAAAATAAGCACTACATAAAATTGTGAATGTATTTGAAAATAATATTATATAAGTAAAATATAATTTATAGATAATTTTCTATAATTGAAAGATATTATAGTCAATTAAATATATGAAAAAATAAATAAAAATTCAATAATACTAATAATAAAATATTTTTATTACTCTAAAAGTATATTTTATGTTAATTAAAAATATTTTTAAATGTATTATTACTATTTTGTGAACTTTCCTTTTTTTATGAAATCATATTATATATACATATATTTTTCGTTTTCAATTTGTTTTTACGACTTTATAAAACATTTTACTTTTTATTACATATATTTTTGGAAATTTTTGAAAATAAACCAAATAAAAGAATTAATAATGCTATTTTAACTATTTTAATTCATTAAGGGTATCAATGTAATCAACCATCGTGAGAGTAAACGTGAGAGCGACACATAGGAAACTGACTTCTCAAATAATATTATAGAGATTCTTAGTTTATTTATCTCATTTTATTCAAAATATTTATATTAATGTTCTATAAAGCTTAAGATCAGATAATATATATATATATATATATATATATATATATAACTTTTAAAAAAATGATTTGCTATTTATTTAAAATACATGTTAAGCTTTTATTTCACGTGATTAACAAAAGTTACATCAAAATTTTGAAAATAAAAACCAGATTAATGATTTTCTATTTTCAATAATTTATTTTTAAACTTCTTAGTCGTTAACTTATTAAGCATCTAATTATATAAAGTAGGATTTTCTCTCATATGAGAGTGCCATGTCACTAATTTATCTCTTCTTGACATGTGTCATGATTCTTGGTTAATATTTTGACTTTTCGTTTGTTTGTCGGTTCATCTTTAATTAAGAATTTTTATGGCATCATTCAATAAATCCCACTTTTTCTACCTATTTACTGAAAATTTACTGCAATATGTGTCCCTAAAAAATATTATATATAGCGTTTTGGTTAATCAAAAGTATCTGAGAAATCTCTACATCTATTGTTTATTATTTTCACCGATGTTTCTTAAAAAGATATCTGAGATACTTTTAATTAACCAAAACGTCTTTGGCATCAACTAATGCTGAACAAAGTGAATCGCAACTAAAGATTAGATAAAGAAATCATATTGTGGCCTCGATTGCCGCCAACTCGGTTGTACGCATGAAAAAAAAGAAACGATTCATAGGATTCCCGACAAGAAGAGAGCCACCGCGAGTGGTTGACATAACCCATCGATCGAATATAAAAAATGTATAAAGGGCTCTACAATGGTCTTATCATATGTTTTGTTAACTTTATTAAATAAAGTTATTTAATACTAACATTTAAATTAAAATCCAATTAAGAAAATACTAAAAATCAACAATTATTGGTTCTAAATTACTTAAAGTAATAAATCTTATAGTTATGTTGCTGGAAAACAATAATTCTTAAAGTTACAAATACGGGTTTTATAGCTCGATCTATTTCATTAATAACCATTATTTCTTTTGCAAACTATAGTTTCTTCGTAAGTTATGTATTTATTAATAAAAACAAATTAAATAATGTATTTTCATTAAAACTATATACATCTAGGTAATTTTTACATGTACTAGATATAATGTGACCAATCAAATAATGTCTATTTTTATAATTAGTAAATTTTATTAATTAAATACTATGTTCTAAAAAATAACAACTTTCTTAATATTAATGCTTTATTTTAAACTATTGTGAAATAGAAGAAGTAATATTGTATGTAAACGTTCAGAAAAATCCCAGTGAAAAAAACAAAACTTAGTTGATCGTATTTGTTAACTTTTAGTAAAACCTTAAAACCCCTGAAAAAAATAAAATAACAAAACATGCCACTTGGATTTCAATTCAAATTAGCACTCTTTTCTTATCTCTTCCAATAAAACATGAACACTATCATCATACAACTTTAAGTAAATAAGTAATTTTTTGTATTTAATTCGATTACTTTGAAACTTATGAATTTGTGTGGTCCTAAACAAGTTCCCCTTTAAGAATAAATGATCTCCGGGAGAATTTATAAATATTAAACTATTCACACAATACAATTGTGTTCTTTAAATACATTATTGCTTTTTAATAGTCATACCTCCCACAATTTTGCTAAAGTCTTAGCGCAAAATAGACACAAAAAATAATCGAAAATATCAAATGTTTATTAGAATTTGAATTATTTTTTTCAATTACTTATAACGTGCTTACCTGTCCCGTCTGTAGGACGGGTTTGACCTAGTTTAAGAAACTGTTAAGTTAATAGTAAAATTTTAAGTACATAAAACTTAAGCAATGAAGAACTTGAATTTTTTTCTTCCAAAATCTAAATATCTGAAACCCGACCCGAAATAATCAAACTCGAACTTAAAATATCTGAACCCGATTCATGCTAGACCCCAATACCAAAAATCCGAAAACCCGAAATACCTGATCCGAACTCGACTATAAAGACTATTTTCCTTTTTTCTAATCTTTTTAAAATCTAAACAAAAGAAAGATTTATATCATATTTTTGACACATGTCACAATTTTAAACTTTAATTGACACATACCAACATTATGTTAATTAATAACTTTGAAAAGTCAAGCTTTATATAGTAAGATAACAAAAAAAATTTTATTGTGACACTTAATATAAAACGGATGGAATATTAGTTTAGAATAATACCAAGAATTTATAATATCCTGAACCCATAATGTTAATCTCAACCTCGTGATATGAGCTCTGACATCGTCGGTTGGTTCTATTTGAGTTCTGATGAAAACTTAAGAAAGCACTAACATCAGATTCTAATCAGTAAACATCGTCAACACTGCTACTTTCCCATAAGGAGGAAGATGTGAGACAGCAGTTTTTTTTCTCTCACTTTTGCAGACTAGGAGCCTTGATGTCTTTAGTCTTTGTAAAGCCGTAACATCATACAACAAACAATCTTCAACTACTTGATTAAACTGCATATAAGAGCAAACTCTTTGTACTATGTACTATTTTTTTCCTTGTAAACTTATATTACACAATGACTGCAAAAGTAAACATGTATCTGCCAAAAAGTTGTTGTCCCAATCTAGATAGAGAGAATTAGAGCAATACCCATAATGAAGGATCTAATTAGTGATTTACCTATTTGAGTGATATTTGGATATGAAAACATATATTTTTGTTTGGTTTTGGACGAAAATACCATTCGCTAACTAACATACTTTTCTGTTGGTTACAGAGAAGTGACAGTTCTATTACCTATACCTACATCACTTTTGTCCACATGTTTACTATATTTTTTTAAATGCTAACAATATTATCCAATAATAATATTTTTGAAAATATAATATCAAAATATTTTAATAGATAAAATAATTTAATATTTGATATGATTGAAAACATAAATTACAATTGATTGCAAGATCTCAACATCTCTAAAATCTACAATTTGTTATAAATTTGATATTACATGTATTTGTTAACAGCTAACACATATGTTAACATTCACAAAATTTATTAACAGTTAATGTCTCTGTTAATAATCACCAGTGTTAATTGGTAACAAAGTTGTTAACGGTGAACAAATAATGTAGATGTTAACAGGGGTTTTAGCTGTTAACAAATAAATGTTCCAGATATTAACAGATGTGTTAGTTGTTAACAAGTATACATATCATAGGTGTTAACAGAAGTGTTAGATATTTATAAAAATTATGTATCTTAATTGAGGTGTTATGTATTAGATGTTAACAAATAAGTATCACTGAATTTTCTATTTCCCAATCACATTGAGTAAATTTAAAATTTAAAATTATTATTTAAGAATCAAAATGAACTCAAAATAAAAAATATTTAACATATTTTTTTGCATGTAATTCATTTAGAAAAATGATAAGAGGAGAGATGAGTCTATGGATGAAATAGGAAAGAGAAACCAAAGACCTTTTAGTCATTATTTTGTAAATATCACATTATGGGCAAAACTCTAATTAGATGTTCATTTATGATATACCAGCATATAATCTCATCTAGATACACTTAATCTCAAATGTACGGACATAAACCCAAATCAGGGTCTGACTGGTTCTCTCGCCATCACCCGCAAACACAACTTTTGCAGTTGGTAGCGGTTGTTGGCGTTTTGCAACAATCACAAAATGCTATAAACCACTTCAAATCGCTCTGAATCTCTAAAATTCAAAAGCTGGTTTCAGCTAGTGTTTGCAGTTACGGGTGAATGCGGGAGGATACATTTTTTCTAAAAAACTATATAAATATAAAAATAAAATATTCAATTAAAATTTTAAATTAAAATATTTGAACACTGAAACATTTATATTGTAAAATTTCCAAAAAAAAATATTTTCTTTAATTTTTAAAAAAAATTTAATAGTGCAATTTTTTCAATAAAAATTTTATATTTATCATGAAAATATGATTTTAATATTTTGATAATTATATAAAATATAAATATTGTTAATTTATTACTTAACCGCATTTGTATTTGATGATAAATGAGTCATAAATATCCCGTAAACGCAACATTTTTTAACCATTGAACCAATTGTATAAATTTCTTACTAATACTTAAAATCGCAATCTCCCGCATCTGTCAATGTCCGTCGCTGTGTTGTAACTAGTCAGGCCCTCAGTCTACACAGAGACACACAAACGTGGACTTGTTTGGAACACGAGTTTCTCGGGACTCCTCCTCCTCTCATTCATCGAATGCGACTTTTAATCAATCTGTTTCCTCAATAGTCGAGTTTCAACCAACTAACAACTCTGCATTTTACCTTTTTATTTCCTTTCTATAAACAACTCAGACATTTCTGAATCTCTCAAGACACAACAATGACAGAAACACAAACTAACATTGATCAAGAAGCAGGAACGAACTCTCAACCTTTGATCCCAGGTTTACCAAACGAGATCGCAGAGCTTTGTCTCCTTCGTCTTCCTTACCCATACCACGCTCTCTTCCGCTCCGTTTCATCTTCTTGGAACACAACAATTACAAACCCTAGCTTCCTCCTCTCCAAGCAATCCCTCTCCATCTCTTCCCCTTACCTCTTCGTCTTCGCCTTCAACAAATCAACGGCCAAGATTCAATGGCAATCCCTCGACCTTTCATCCGGCCGCTGGTTCGTTCTACCTCCCATGCCCACCTCTTTCACCAAGATCTCCTCTCCCCACGCGCTCTCCTGCGCGTCGAACCCACGTCAGGGAAAGCTTTTCGTCCTCGGAGGCGGCGAGTCCTCTCGCTCCGCCGTCGTCTACACCGCCCTGACGAACCGCTGGTCGTTCGCGTCTCCGATGCTGAGTCCGAGAACGTACTTCGTCGCCGGGAACGTCGACGGTAAAATCATGGCCGTCGGCGGGAGTTTGGACGGGGTCGGAGAAGCCACGACGGATGTCGAATCGTACGATCCGGAGAGCGACACGTGGAAGGAGTCCGCGAAGCTCCCGATGGTGTTGCCGAAGTACGACTCCGCCGTGATCGGGAGAGAGATGCTGGTGACGGAAGGATGGGCGTGGCCGTTCATGTTTCCGCCCATGGCACAGGTGTACGACTACGATAAAGACACGTGGCGAGAGATGAGGGGTGGGATGAAGGAAGGGTGGACGGGTTTGAGCGTCGTGATCCGGGGGAGGCTGTTCGTGATCTCGGAGCACGGGAACTTCCCGATGAAGGTTTATTCATCTGATGATGACACGTGGGAGTACGTGAGTGGCCAGAAGCTTCCGAAGGAGACGATGCGGCGTCCGCTAGCTGTGACGGGAGCTGAAGACCGAATGTTTGTGGTGGGTGAAGGGCTTAACGTGGCGGAAGGTAGAGTGAGTGAGAGGCAAAACGGGGAATTTCGTGTTGTGTGGAGGATGATCACGTCGTCTCCTCAAGCTCGTACTCAACTCACACCTGCTAGTTGTCACGTCCTTTATGTCTGATTTTTTTTTTTCCCAAATAATTTAGGTTCATAGTAGATTCACCAACCAATATGATGATATTATTTTATATTTGATATTTTTTTTAAAAGGAATTTAAATCGTGTTAATTATATTATATTTTTAAAAACAAAAATAGAAAAAATAAATAAAAAAATAATAATATTAAAAAAACAAAAAAAAAACTTTTGTAAAAAATATTTAATAATAAACCCTAAACTCTAATCCTAAACCATAATCTTAAACCCTAAACCCTTTGGAAAAATCTTAACTCTTCGGTAAATTAATACTAATCAATTATATTATTTTTTTATTTATTTTTATCTTTTTATTTTAAACACATGTTTTTATTTTAAAGATATATTAAAATATATTTTTTTAAATTGTTTTGTGCAATTATTACTATTTTTATTTTATTTTTATCTTTTATTTTTAAACATAACTAGATTTTGACCCGCGCTTGAGAAGCGCGAGTTTTATTTTGGTTGTATCAAAATATATCAAATGATTCTATTTTTATTATATAATAGTTTTATATGTGAAATTTGATGTATATTTAACGTTTTAATAGGATCTTTTCATTGAGTTTTGCATAACCGAATCAGTTTGTGAATGAACCGAAAATCAAAAAATTAAGTGTTGTGAGAGTATGAAGAATTAAAACACATATTAGACTGAAAGCAAAATTGGATGGGTCCATGACCTATAGTCAATTTGAAAAATCAATACTATTGAAAATGCCCAAAATTGTATTACAAATTTGTAGTTAAATTCAATAAATATGTTAATCGAATTATATACTCCCTCCGTTTCACTTTAGTTGTCATTCTAGTTTTTGCACACAGATTAAGGAAATATTTAATTTTACATATTTCCAAGATAAAAACACTATTATCTATACACCTAACCAATTTTCAACCAATAAAAAATAGAATATTATATAAACCTAATAAATTTTGTCTCGAAACTCTAAAACGACACTTAATTTGTGACAAAAAAATAAGCCTAGAATGACATGTATTCTGAAACGGAGGGAGTAATTTCTTTATGTTAGTTAAAGTAATTACATTTATGATTTTTGAATAATAAAAATAATATTCAATTTTGACCCGCGCTTCTTATATAATTTATTTATGTTAGTTAAAATAATTACATCTATATTTTTTGAACAATAAAAATAATATTAAATTTTGACCCGCGCTTCTTATATAGTTTATATATGTTAGTTAAAATAATTACATCTTGAAAGTGTATGAGATTTGATGATTTGCATTGATCTCATGAATGAGTATATATACAACTGTAGATACTTATCTTTACAGAATATACTTTATTCTATTCTCTAGTTGGATATTATCATATCCTAACTAACACATCTATGATTTTTGAACAATAAAAATAATATTCAATTTTGACCCGCGCTTAAGAAGGGCGGGTATTTTTTTGTTGACCATAAAATAAAATATTAAATTAATTTATGAGAGTCAAAAGTAACTCAAAAATAATTTTTTTTATGTGAGTCAAAGATAACTCTAAGTATATAAGGTATAATTTAAATATTGCAAGATTCTAGAGTAACAAATGAGATTTGTTACTCCAAGTATCTCATTTTCTGTTTCAATATGCAGCAAATATAGTACAAATCAATTTTCGTTTATTATATCATAGTATATTGATCTGTTTTATACAACACTGTGTATTTTTCATATAAATAAATCAGTGAATAAATCGTCAAGAAAAAAAAATATTATTTAAAATGAAAATTATTGAGTGAAAACAAATTGCGATTTTGATTCAGCCATGATTAACGCTCGAGAATCATCATTACACGATTGTCAAAACATAACTAAAAACATTATTTCTAAACAAACATAATCCTAAAACGGATCGATGGAGAATCAACATTACCTCTGCGATTTTGATTCAACCAGGGTTAACGCTCGAGAATCATCATTATCTCTGCGATTATAAATAAGTTTTATAATTTAGTCTATACTATTATATAGTGAAAAGATTGAAAAAGATAAATATCGTTGTTTAAATTCATCTGTCTCTGGTATTTCAGGATTAACAAACATCTGACTTACGTCATAAGCATTTGAGATTTGGACCTCACTTATAACCAAAAATAAATCATAAGCATTTGAGTAATTTCTTTTGTCAATCGAGGAATGTATGTCTTGTTACACGAGGTATGGATCTTACTTCCTTATATAAACATAAAACATTATCATTTAGGTTAAACTTTAACGAAATGAAGATATCTAAATCAAAAATCTACACAAAACGACAAATTTACATTTGCATCACAAAGGATTAGTTCCATGGACTCCCTTAGTCTTTCATGAAAGGTCTCCACGTATGAAGGATTTTGACTTGGATGCGACAACAGTCTTCCTCGGTTTTATATCGCTCAAGAAAGACACCTGCAAATTATTCGCCATTTTTGTTTTAGGGTTTTGAAGGGATGATAAATATAATGGTTAAGAGAGGCTATATTTATAATAAGTAGGGACGATATACAATTAGGTTACGCGAATATAGGGGAGAATATTTCATACGATTTTTTAAAATATCTCTTTCGAGGAATAAGGAATATTTCTTGAAGATTTTGAATAGTTATGAATTTTAAAGTTTAACAGTTAATGGTAATCCATCTACGGTAAGTTACCAAAATTTATGGAATCTACGATATTGATTGTGGTTAATCTATAACTTGTAGGTAAAACAATTTCTTTATTTTAGTAAGAAGATAATTATAGAAAACCGTATTTGCAATATTTTCTTAACAAAACGTATCTCGTCCATTAAATGTCAACATGAGAGTGATGATATATCTTTTTTGGTTGATATCACTATATGTCGTCTAACTATGGTATATAAATACATATAAATTTAGCGAGACATAAAAGCATATTTCATATATGAAAAAACATGAAATGAAGGTCTATAACACAATATAAATGAAATGAAAGTTTATAAAGTCCATGTATAATGCATATACCAAAAAATGTCAACAAAAAAAGTATAATGTTGGAAATCTATAGATTGAAATCGTGTAATATAAGATCTATAACACAATATAAATGTATGAAATATAGTATGGTTTATAAATACAGGTAAATTTAGTGAGACATGAAAACATATTTCATATATGAAATAGATCATGAAATGAAGGTTTATAACACAATATAAATGAAATGAAGGTTTATATAGTTCATGTATGATGCATATACCAAAAAATTTCAACCAAAAAAGTATAGTGTTGGAATATATAGATTGAAATCATGTAATATAAGGTCTATAACACAATATAATTGTATGAAATATAATATGGTATATAAATACGGGTAAATTTAGTGAGACATGAAAACATATTTCATATATGAAGATAAATCATGAAATGAAGGTCTATAACACAATATAAATGAAATGAAGGTTTATAAAGTCCATGTATAATGCATATACCAAAAAATGTTAACCAAAAAAGTATAATGTTGAAAATATATAGATTGAAATCGTGTAATATAAGGTGTATAACACAATATAAATGTATGAAATATAATTTGGAATATGATTATAAAGTCCATATATGATTTATATACCAAAAAGTCAACCATAAAAGTATAATGCTGAAAATCTATAGATTGAAATCATGTAATATAAGGTGTATAATACAATATAAATGTATGAAATATAGTATGAAATGTGGTTGTAAAGTCCATATATGATGCATATACCAAATCGTGTAATATAATGTTGAAAATCAATACATGTATGAAAATAGTATAAAATATGGTTAGAGTAATTAATGGGAAGAGAGAGAATAATTAATGGTTAGAGTAATTAATGGAAAGAGAGAGAATAATTCGGGTATATGCAATATGTGATATGATTTGTAACAAATCCATATATATATAGATGTAAGACAAAAATAAATTACCAAAATGCCATTAATGAAAGGTGCACACAACTTTCATTAATCGATTTTCAAGCGTACCTTCACTTTTATAGTATAGATATAATGTTAAAATATTTTTTTAAAGAGTTTTTTTTCCTGTTTTGTAAATATTAATATTTTTATTTATTTTTTCTATTTTTATTTTAAAAACATAATATAACTTGACAAGATTTTGTTTCCTTTTTAAAAGATATCAAATATGAAATAACACCACCCAATTGGTTGGTGAACCTAGAGGTTCACCCTAAGGGGTGAACCCAAGAATAAGTCTTATTCATATTGAAATAATATAGTCATGATGCATTGCATCAGTTATTACATATGGTACATAATTATAAAACATGTAAAGAATGTCTGTTTGAGATACTTATGAAGCAAGTATATCTGCTGGTTTATTCCTCTCTCTTGGTACCCAACGATATTCTATCTCTTTAAACTTCGATTCCCACTTCCAAACTTCCCGAAGATAATTGTACATCGTGAAACTTAGTTTCTTCCTTTGTACCAGTTCAACCAGTCCTTTGCAATCACCTTCAAATACGACCTTGAAAATTCCTTTTGACCAAACAGTTTGCATAGCAAAAAATAGAGCTTTAAATTCTCCTTCCAAAGCTGACATAGTTGATTCCAGAATCGCTCTTCCTGCTCCCCTGAAGGTTCCTTTATCATCTCTTAAGATGCATCCACCAGTCGACATATTTTCATTTGCCTTGTAGGAGCCATCGTAGTTACACTTTATCCATCCAGCCAAAGGTCTTTCCCAGGCGTGATTACGTTTAGTATACCTTGAGGGTGTTTCTGGTAGTTGAGATGAATTTATAAAATCCTGAGCGTTTTTCCATTCAGCATTATCTGCAATAGCCATGCTTAGGGTTGTTCTCCAAGCTATTCTTTTCTTTTGAAATAATAATGTATTTCTGGCTTTCCATACTCTCTATAGAATCCAAATGCCTAAGGTTTGATACTACTTAGATAGTTTGCCATCCACTTCTAAAAGAATCTTCAGTTTATCTTTGTATGTCACCGCAGGGTCATATAGAACAGGGATAGGTATATTCGAACCCTCCATAGACGTTGAGTATAAATGCGGTCGAAAAGAGCATGTTGACTAGTCTTAGGTTGTAGAAAGTGTAGACACTTAATCTCTTGAGTAATTCTCAGATATGCTAATGTTTGACCAAGAG